AACATTCATCAGACGCACAATGTCAACCTGCACATCATGACAAATAGATCACGTTAATCTAAAAAGAGTTTGAATGATGTCTGACATCATGAATCAATGAAAATCATTTGCAATAATGCCATGTTTCGCAAAAAAAAATAAAAATAAAAGAAATAAGATTTTATGTGAGGAAACAGTTATATTGCATATATACATTAACCAGAAGCATGAAGTCAACCTACACATCATGAAAAGTAGATCATGTTACTCTAAAAAGAGTTTGAATGACGTCTGACATCATGCATAAGCGAAAATCATGCTTATAATTAAATAAATACTACTTTTTTCATCATATATTGCATAATAAACATTCACCAGAAGCACAAAGTTAACAAGCACATCATGGGAAATAGATCGTGGTAATCTAAAAAGAGTTTGAATGATGTCTGACATCATGAATCAATGAAAAACATTTGCAATAACACAATGTGTGCTGCAATAAAATAATTGCCAAAATTAAGCATGTCGTATATGTGAAGAAACAATGCTGTTTTTTAATTGCACATCTTATATTGCAGAGTAAACATTCACCAGAAGCACAAAGTGAACCTGCACATCATGTAATATAGATCATGTTACACTAAAAGAAGTGTTTGAATGACGTCTGACATAATGCACTAATGAGAATCATGCATATATTTAATGAAATACTGCTTTTTTTTCATATTATATTGCAATAAACATTCACCAGAAGCACAAAGTGCAGGTTGCACATAATGAGAAATAGATCATGTGAATCTAAAAAAACAGTTTGAATGACATCTGACATCAAGAATCAATGAAAATCATTTGCAATAACACAATGTGTGGCGCAAAAAAAATAATAGCCAAAAAAAAAAAAAGCATGCTTATATGTAAAGAAGCAATACTGATTTTCAATTGCACATCTTATATTGCATAAACATAAATAAAAAGCACAACATGAACCTGCACATCATGAGAAATAGATCATGTTAATCTAAGAAGAATTTGAATGATGTCTGACATCATGATTCAATGAAAATCAAGCTTATATTTAACGATATACTGCTTTTTGCATCTTATTTTGCATAATAAATAAACCAGAAGCACAAAGTGAACCTGCACATGATGAGAAATAGATCATGCTACACTAAAAAAAAGTGTTTGAATGACATCTGACATCATGCATCAATGAAAATCACGCATATATTTAAAGAAATACTGCTTTTTTGCATCTTATGTTGCAATAAACATTCACCAGAAGCACAAAGTGCAGGTTGCACATCACGAGAAATAGATCATGTTAATCTAAAAAACAGTTTGAATGATGTCTGACATCAAGAATCAATGAAAATCATTTGCAATAACACAATGTGTGGCGCAAAAAAATAATAGCCAAAAAAAATAAGCATGCTTATATGTAAAGAAGCAATACTGATTTTCAATTGCACATCTTATATTGCCATAACATAAATAAAAAGCACAACATGAACCCGCACATCATGAGAAATTGATCATGTTAATCTAAGAAGAGTTTGAATGATGTCTGACATCATGATTCAATGAAAATCAAGCTTATATTTAACGATATACTGCTTTTTGCATCTTATTTTGCATAATAAATAAACCAGAAGCACAAAGTGCAGTTTGCACATCACGAGAATAGATCATGTTAATCTAAAAAACAGTTTGAATGACATTTGACATCAAGAATCAATGAAAATCATTTGCAATAACACAATGTGTAGCACAATAAAAAAATGCCAAAATTAAGCATGCGTATATGCAAAGAAACAATGCTGTTTTTTAATTGCACATCTTATATTGCAGAGTAAACATTCACCAGAAGCACAAAGTGAACCTGCACATCACGAGAAATAGATCATGTCACACTAAATAGAAGTGTTTGAATGACGTCTGACATCATGCATCAATGAAAATCATGCATATATTTAAAGAAATACTGTTTTTTTTTCATATTATATTGCAATAAACATTCACCAGAAGCACAAAGTGAACCTGAACATGATGAGAAATAGATCATGCTACACTAAAAAAAGTGTTTGAATGACATCTGACATCATGCATCAATGAAAATCACGCATATATTTAATGAAATACTGCTTTTTTGCATCTTATATTGCAATAAACATTCACCAGAAGCACAAAGTGCAGGTTGCACATCACGAGAAATAGATCATGTTAATCTAAAAACAGTTTGAATGACATCTGACATCAAGAATCAATGAAAATCATTTGCAATAACACAATGTGTGGCGCAAAAAAATAAGAGACAAAAAAAATAAGCATGCTTATATGTAAAGAAGCAATACTGAGTTTCAATTGCACATCTTATATTGCCATAACATAAATAAAAAGCACAACATGAACCCGCACATCATGAGAAATTGATCATGTTAATCTAAGAAGAGTTTGAATGATGTCTGACATCATGATTCAATGAAAATCAAGCTTATATTTAACGATATACTGCTTTTTGCATCTTATTTTGCATAATAAACAAACCAGAAGCACAAAGTGAACCTGCACATCATGACAAATAGATCATGTTAATCTAAAACGAGACTAAATGATGTCTGACGTCATGAATCAATGAAAAACATTTGCAATAACACAATGTGTAGCACAATAAAATAATTGCCAAAAATAAGCATGTCGTATATGTGAAGAAACAATGCTGTTTTTTAATTGCACATCTTATATTGCAGAGTAAACATTCACCAGAAGCACAAAGTGAACCTGCACATGATGAGAAATAGATCATGCTACACTAAAAAAAAGTGTTTGAATGACATCTGACATCATGCATCAATGAAAATCACGCATATATTTAAAGAAATACTGCTTTTTTGCATCTTATGTTGCAATAAACATTCACCAAAAGCACAAAGTGCAGGTTGCACATCACGAGAAATTGATCATGTTAATCTAAAAAACAGTTTGAATGACATCTGACATCAAGAATCAATGAAAATCATTTGCAATAACACAATGTGTGGCGCAATAAAAAAATGCCAAAATTAAGCATGCATGTATGTGAAGAAACAATGCTGTTTTTTAATTGCACATCTTACATTGCAGAGTAAACATTCACCAGAAGCACAAAGTGAACCTGCACATCATGAGAAATAGATCATGTCACACTAAATAGAAGTGTTTGAATGACATCTGACATCATGCATCAATGAAAATCATGCATATATGTAATGAAATACTGCTTTTATGCATCTTATATTGCAATAAACATTCACCAGAAGCACAAAGTGCAGGTTGCACATCATGAGAAATAGATCATGTTAATCTAAAAAACAGTTTGAATGACATCTGACATCATGAATCAATGAAAATCAGGCTTATATTTAAAGAAATACTGCTTTTTGCATCTTATATTCCATAATAAACATTCACCAGAAGCACAAAGTGAACCTGAACATGATGAAAAATAGATCATGCTACACTAAAGAAAGTGTCTAAATGACATCTGACATCATGCATCAATGAAAATCATGCGTATATTTAAAGACATACTGCTTTTTTGCATCTTATTTTGCAATAAACATTCACCAGAAGCACAATGTGCAGGTTGCACATCAAGAAAAATAGATCATGTTAATCTAAAAAGTGTTTAAATGATGTCTGACATCATGAATCAATGAAAATAATTTGCAATAACACAATGTGTGGCGCAATAAAATAATAGCCAATAAAATAAGCATGCTTAGCAATACTGAGTTTCAATTGCACAAATTGCATGATAAACATAAATAGAAGCACAATGTCAACCTGCACATCATGAGAAATAGATCATGTTAATCTAAAAAGAGTTTTAATAATGTCTGACATCATGAGTCAATGAAAATCATGCTTACATTTAAAGATATACTGCTTTTTGCATCCTATATTCCATAATAAACATTCATCAGACGCACAATGTCAACCTGTACATCATGACAAATAGATCACGTTAATCTAAAACTAGATTGAATGAAGTCTGACAGCATGAATCAATGCAAATAATTTTGTGTGGCGCAAAAAAAGAATAGCCAAAAAATGTGAGGAAACAATTATATTGCGTAGTAAACATTCACCAGAAGCACAAAGTGAACCTGCACATCATGAGAAATAGATCACGTTAATCTAAAAAGCTAGAGTTTGAATGGTATATGTCGTCATGCATCGATGAAAACCAGCTGCAATCATACAAAAATAAAATAAGCAAGCTTATATGTGAAAAAGCAATGCTGCACATCTTATATTGCATAAACATAAATGGCATTACGTGAACTTAGACATCATGAGAAATAGATCATGTAAATCTAAAAACACTCTGAATGACATCTGACAGCATGCACTGCTAAAGAGAAAGAAAATCTGTGGCAATTATACTGACTGTGCTTATAGTGAGGGAGGGGAAGAGCGTGGGGAAGACGAGAGTACATAGTGTGCATGATGAATATATTTCTGTGCGACCAAAATGTCATTTTTATATGTTAAGTAAACATTGAACGACTCTAAAAAAAAACAAGCAGCGGTTTAGAATTACATCTAACAGCGTGCACTGATTGAAATCAGTCACAGAGACACTGACCGTGGTTTAATATTGCATAAGGGAACACAACAATGAGTGAAAACACAACAAGCGCAGCCTGTGCAAACAACAAATGTGCATGCAATCTGATGTTTATGAAGTAACAAATGCCAATGTGCGGTAAAAACTATTTATTTAAAATCATATATATTATATTTCTTAAAAAATGGTGACAAAATTTAAGTGTATCAATGTTTTTTTTTTATAAAAATAGACTGAAACAGGTCAGAATTCACCAATGCATGCTGTCAGATGTCAATCATAGACTCTTAATATTTGTGTATAAAAGTATACATGAATAAATTAGATGTTTACAAGCCAAATGCATGATGTAAAAGCTTACCCATGTGGCCAAACCCCCCAAAACACCCAGTAAAAAAATCATGATTACCTTTGTGCATGCCGGTGTATCGGTCCTTGAGGACAGTCAGTTCGTGGATCTTTCCAAACTGTTCAAAAAGAGGTTTCAGGTCTTTCTCCTCCAGGTTGCGCGGGATCTGTCCTATAAAGAGCTTGATGGCATCCTGGTCTTTCATGGTGCCGCTGTCGGGGTGGATGGAGATGGGCTCGGAGCCGTTCATGGGCTTGGGGTAGGAGATGTGCGCGTACTGGGGCTGGTGCGGGATCAGGAGCAGTGGTGCCGCTGCCTGGCTCGGTACCGCCCCCGGTCCGGTGAGGAGCAGGCTGGCGTGGGCAGGTTGAGGATGCTGAGGATGCTGCTGCTGCTGCCTCCTCGCTTCAGTCTGGGTGAATCTAGCCATTCTGCGCGCGGCGGCGGAGAGCGCGATAATAATAACAACATACACACGCACGCACACGCACGCACGCACACGCGCCGGGAGAGAGTACGCGCTCAGCTGGAAACGCGACGCTCACTTTCTATTCGACACATGTCACGCGCGCGGCCCCCGCACCTGACTGAGGGAGAGGAGGAGGAGGAGACTCGGATCAGTGGATCAGTAGCGACACCTGCCGACACACAGACTACTGTACTGCTGGAGCTGGACGGATGAGTGGATGAATAGGTGGGTGAGTGAATGGAGATTAGATAGATAGATAGATAGATAGATAGATAGATAGATAGATAGATAGATAGATAGATAGATAGATAGATAGATAGATAGATAGATAGATAGATAGATAGATAGATAGATAGATAGATAGATAGATAGATAGATAGATAGATAGATAGATAGATAGATAGATAGATAGATAGATAGATAGATAGATAGATAGATAGATAGATAGATAGATAGATAGATAGATAGATAGATAGATAGATAGATAGATAGATAGATAGATAGATAGATAGATAGATAGATAGATAGATAGATAGATAGATAGATAGATAGATAGATAGATAGATAGATAGATAGGTTCATTCCGCATGGCGACCCCAGATTAATTAAGGGACTAAGCCGACAAGAAAATTAATGAATTAATTAATGAATAAATGTTTGTGAAAGTAAAATTTCCCAGCAATATAAGAAAGTTCATAGTGGCTTCTAACGACTTGTTTGGTTTTCAAAATAACAAATAACATCCTTAAGGTGCAAATTAACAATCATATTAACCTCGGAAAACACAAAATGAACTTAAATCTTTCCAAAACAGTGATGATAGATCGCAAGAAAAAAACAAGTGACAAATATCTTCACACTCATTCTTACAAAATGTTCAAATATCAGTAACATCACAAAATTTGGATGAAAGTGGATTACATCGAATATTGTGCAGAAGTACACCTCTTCTTTCATTTTATTAGCAATACAGAATCTATATGGAAATACCATGTTTTCCTCCATTGAATATTAACAATTATGGAACCCCAAAAAACTTTCCTCTAGGAGTAATTGCATTATGTAACTGGGACACTTGACATATGAACTTATTGTTGCATTCTTTACTAAGAATAGATTTTCCTCCTATGTATAACTGTGACAGTTGTTTGGAACTTGCCTCATAAGAGCTGCTTTCATCAGACATAGTAATCCACAGTCTTGGGGAGGTTACTTTGGAAATGTAATAGATTACAGATTACAAATTACCCTTTATTTAAAATGTAATAAGTTACACTACTTTTTGATTACTTTATAAAAGTAAAGTAACTAATTACATTTGATTAGTTTTTGATTACTTTTACGTTTCTAATGGACATTTTCAACTAAATCAAGCATTTATACCGAGTACATGCAACCCCCCCCCCCCCCCCCCCCCCCCCGGATTTATGGCTGTGCACTCTAAAAAAAAATTCCGTAAAAAAACGGTAAAATGTACTGGCAGCTCATTACACAAATATTTTACCGTAAATTAAAAACGGAAAACTTCTGTTAATTAACAGTGTGTCAACATTAAAAAAACTAAAAAAATATCCGTTTTTTGACAGTTAAACTACTGTAAAATAACCAACCATTTTATAGTAATTTAAGGGTTTTCTATATAAAAAACGGTTATTTTCTGTGTTTTTAAGGGTATACCAACAGTAAAAAAGCGGAAATATTCTGTGTTTTAATAGTATACCTACTGTAAAAAAACAGACAGATTCTGTGTTTTAATAGTATACCTACTGTAAAAAAACAGACAGATTCCGTGTTTTAATAGTATACCTACTGTAAAAAAACAGACAGATTCCGTGTTTTAATAGTATACCTACTGTAAAAAAACAGACAGATTCTGTATTTTAATAGTATACCTACTGTAAAAAGAGGAGTTTTTTGGGTTTTAATAGTATACCTACAGTGAAAAAATAAACAGATTCTTTGTTTTAATGGGATACCTACTGTAAAAAATAATTATTTTACTAATTTAATGCTCTTCAAGCAGCATAGAAATGGCAATTGGTAAGGACAAACATATACATATGGGAAATACACTATTAATAGTTTACAATAGTAAAACAAAACATTTATTCTATACTGTATGAGTAGAGAAGCAGTAAATAGTTTGTTATCTGTGAACTTACAATGATTAGTACAAAAACAACTTTGCAATTAAAACAGATTCTTAATGAATACAAATCATTTGAATTCCAAATAGCTAGTTATACACACAATAATACATATTGACATGTGAATCGCACAGTGACAAGTCTTGGCAAATAATCTCATAGCAAATTAGTTTTAAATGTTAGCTTTAAGATAATTAAGGACAAGTGGGCAAATTACAAGTACTTTACATTAAGAAACCAGGTTAACTGCAAGATGGCAGGAAACAGACGAAACAACTGGGTCTTCTTCCTCTCCAATACTGATACTTCAATGGCTGTAAAACAAACAAACAAACAAAAAATATTACTAATGACTTTTCACTTACAACTGGGGTGATTCCTTGCATGTCAATAGTTCTTTTAATCATTGACTCTACATTAATAGATGTTAGTAGTCGGTTTTAAATACAGCTACAAATGCTGTAATCTTGACTTAAGCACATATATAATGTGCTTAATAATTGTGTTAACAAACTTTAATGATTGATTTTACATGACTATTTTTATAAAAAAAAAAAAAAAAATATATATATATATATATATATATATA